CTGAGCGGTAGATTCGTCACAAGATAGATCATTACATCAAATGCCCTTGCCTGTTTATTACAGCACAAAAATTTATACACATATCTGTTAAGGTAGATGATTTGATGAATTTAATGAATTCATCATTGAAATGTAATGGGAATTAATTTTTTCACCAATTTACATCAAGGGTACCTGTACATGTACGATTTCTGGTTAAAAGTCCTTGAATACAATATTGAATTACAGTTTGTATTTGTCAGTTGATTTAAATCAGTGTTTTGTACAAGTTTAAATTTGAAAGATATGACTAATTTTTGTCTTTAATTAACAATTTGATTGTTTACGTGTAGAGATGAGAGAGTACCCAAATGTCAAAAGCCAAATAGTAATTTAACTACTTTTCATTTACAACCTTTTAAAAAAGTATAGAGGAATGTGCATTTCATTAACAGAATATTTACAGAATTTCTGTTTCAACTGCATCAGTCTCAGCTAAATGCTACACACTCATTTGGGAAAACAGCCTTTTGTATTTTCTTATATATATATATATATACCAATAATTTCATGATTTCATTGCAAGGGATGTTGATTCTGAATCCGTATATCCTCACATACATAGTTGATATTGATATAAAAGAGCACTCTCATGTACGTATGAATATACATTTGTATACATGTATTAGGTACATGTGTAGTATACATGTACGTCACCAGATTTTGTATCGCAGGGTTCACGGTTCAAGCCCCGCCGCAGCACCAATGTCCTTTGGCAAGAAATTAATGTATCTTTGCCACTCTCCACCCAGGTGAAGTAAATAGGTACCCAGTAGGAAGAATTTTTTTAAACGAGACCTACAGTATAATTGTTATTATTATTATTATTTACCAGAAGGGTGTTAAATCATATATTTTAACAAATGGGTATGAGGTTAAAACATAGTGAACTTGTACATTTATCCATGCGTTCACACACAAAGTCAATACTGATAAAATTACACTCTCATGTATATTTAGAATCAACTATCTTTTGCTTCTTTATGATTGAAAATGATTGATTAATAATAAATATACATGTAGAGTATGTGTGTGTGTAGTAAATTTTGGGATGCTGGGAGGACTGATACTAATGAAACCTAGTTCCTCATTTAATACATGCGTCTCACTCCCCAGAAGAAAAAAATAGGTTGGTAATGATAATGTAATGCACGTGCACGCAGACAGCACACCAACTGCATGAGAGACTGATCAAACCTCACATTTAAGATGGCGGGAATAAAGTCGGTTGCCTTGGTAACGGGTGTTCCATCTTGCAGCTGCTTATAATTGGTAGGAGTTGATCAAAGAAATGAAGGAAGAACCTCATGTGTTGCATACATTCAGAGCATGTACATGTACATGTACAGTATGTGTGTAAGAAATAGCAGCATATATAGTGACTGACATTTTGTAATGGGTACTGGCAAATTGATCAACTAGCCTTTTGTCAACAATCTTGTTTATGCATCGCTATTTTAGCAGACAACATGTTGACAAAGATTCTGATATTCTGTTTCTTCCCCAGGCGCATTGAGGCATACTTTTACAGTGTAGCTAATATTGTATTATGCACTATACAGTACGTGTACATACATACAAGAATGCTTTATCAATATTGTTGGCAACAATATTATGATAAAATGCAGCTGTAAATTTTGCATTAGACACTAAATGGAATGAAGTCATCGTTTGTCCAAAGTCCAAAGTCCAAATTCGGGATTACAAAGTGATTGTTATTTTTGTAATTTGCTCCTTTCCCTTACTCTACATGTACATGCATGTGATTCATAAATTGTTACACGTACATGTACCTCACCATTTTATTCTTACCATTTCTGTAAAGTCACATGGATTGGAAAAGAAGACCTTCGGGTATTAATAGTTAAGCTTTTACTTTTCCCGGCATCCATGCGACTCTTTTCCAAATGTACTTTTGTTTTGTATTCACTGATTTTTTTGGTCTTTGCTGCATAAATAATAATAATAATAATAATAAATAATAATAATATTAATCCTAATGACTGTTATGCTTTATTTCATTGCCAATTTTCGCTGTAGTAGGATCCCTGCAGCAGCAGTGACCTTGTTCTTGCTTTCCAGCTGGAATTTACATGTACATGTACTAACCATGTCCCTTTGACAACTGTTGATATCGGTCACAAATATGACCTGCCTTTTCAACAAAGAAAATCTAATTGAATTACAGCACTACAGTGCATTCTTGCTTTGTATGAGATGAAAAGGGCATTGATTGAAAAGCAAAGTTTTACCTTGGTCGAAAAATATTTTAACCATCTACAGTGTACTTTTGTACGTGACAAGAGTCACTATTTTGGTAGAACCTGTTTTGACCCACATTTGTACATGTAAAAAATAAACTAAATATAGTTCTACATGTACAACTTACAATTTAGTACACAAATACACATGCTGGAAGTGTTGTCTAAATATCAACCAATCTAGTTATTATTCAGGTTGATGAAATAATATTTTCCTCTCCAATTTGCAGTTAATGCTGAATATTACATTGGCTTTCACTCATCTTACACAAATCAATGTTATTAACAGTTACTTCTTTCATGAAGCTCTATTTGGATTCGCTATAGTTCAAGTTAAGTTTATAATAAATATTCATAGTTATTGTGACATTCCCCACATGACCCTCCCCCCCCCCCCCAAAAAAAAAAAAAAAAAAATGAATAATAGAATTGATAATAAATACAATAAATAAAGTAAAATAAATATCGGATGCAACTTCATTATTGTTCTCAGAGTTTGTTTTCTTATATTTCAAGAGTTACGTTAAAGCTTTCTATGGCCAAATCACTCTCTGCTCTTAATTTCCCATCCATTTTCCTTTTTTTTTTCTTCACCGACACATAACAAATATTTACTACAGAAAACAGAGTACTTTGACCATTTCAGGTCAACTGCTAACGCCCCAAGGTGCTTTTGAGGAAGAGGCAATTTTTCAAAATGCCCTAAAGATTAATCAGTTTAGAGACGGGAGGACACTAGGTACCGGTATGTTTTCATCAACTCGAGATTGCCAAAAAGCCTGCTATTTCTGATTTGGGAAATAAGTCCGAAGTTACAAATCACGTCTCCATCAGCTCGAGACTCCACCTCGAAACTCGAGCTCGAGATATTTTGCTCAGCATTCGCGCATATTGCTATTCTTCGGGCTGGTGAAGATGCACTGGACAAATAGCGGGATATTTTGCAAGCTAGCCCAAGATATCTTGGGATGATTATCTCGACCAAATATCCCGCTAGTTGCAACTGCGGGCTGATAAAGAGGCAAATTAGCTGGATAATTTGCAAATGGATAGTTAAAATGGCGGGTTATTTGGTAATCTCGAGCTGATGAGGTTCGATGATGAGGTTCGATGATGACTCTATGTGTATGTGTACATGTATGTGTTAATGCACTTCTTGCTCCCAAAGTACAGTACATCCTAATATGATCTTGGGACTTTGTCAAGACTCTGAAAGACACAAAGTTTCAACATGGTCAACAAATTAGGCAGTTCAGTGCTACAAATGTAGAAGGCCATTAACTTTATCTAGAAGTATAGCCCTTAACATCCTTCTAGCACCCGCCAGAAAAATATGTTCCTGTAAATCCTCAACTTGCCTTATTCCTAATATCTGCTCCTGTTTATCGGGAGGAAATAAAATATTTGACTACAATATCAATATCAAAGTGCCGGGTAGTTATTGACCATAGCCTGGAGGGGAGTGTGGCGACCATAAAGGTCAAACGAGATAACAATTTCTTGATCAGCCTTTTTAAAAATTTCTTCCAAGCTGTCCATATTGGCGTTGAAAGTGAACAGGGCAAATTCATAGTAACAGAAAAGAAAACACCCATTGTATATACATGTAAGACAAACTCATGACACAGCCTATTTTTCACATGTAAATCTACTTATCAGAACTATAAGATACTCAGCCAAACATTTGGGTTATGATGATAAAAACATTTGTTGAATACCGGTAAGTGCCCATGAAAGATTTTGTTCTCCTTATACACTATCTAGCATGTTTTATAAGCTGTATTGCTTGAAATAAAGTAGACACATTACCACCAAGTCACACCAAGGTCTATGGCATAATGCATGCAGTCACGCGTGACACGGTGTCCGTGTGAGACTGTCAACTTTATTCCAAGCAATACTGTACATGTATGATGATCATTATCTTTGGTAACAGAATTTCCTCACCAGAGATATTCATCATCCTGGATATTCCTGGTGATCTGTTTAATAGTGTACCTGTTATTCTGCTCGATATGCAATCTATGAGTACTTGGCAGAATGTATTGCTTCATTTGCATTTACTTGAAATTTAATGCGATAATTAAACTTGATATCCTGGTGGGCTTCTGTACATACATTGATTTCCATATCACCTGGAATAATACTGATGTGCAGTGCACAAATCAGAGTTTTGGTATCATGTTACAATAGACACTTGAGAGTAATCACAAGTATGTAGTAAGTTTTGATATCATTATCACGTACAGTAGACACTTGTGATTTATCATATGTATTTAGTTTTGATATCATTATTACAATAGGCTCTTGAGATAAGTTACCTTCCAGGTATTTTTGTTCCATATGTATTATGGGCTCATTGATTGAGGTGCCTTGGTTGAGTGGTTAAGTCGCTGGACTGTCGATCACAAGGTCTGTGGTTCAAATCCCACGGCGGCACTAAAGTCCTTTGGCAAGACATTGATCTACATTTGTCACTCTCGACCCAGGCAGGTGGTGAAAATGGGTACCTGGAAGGAATTCATTCTTTGAAATGCTAGAGCGCCGTAATGGCCGCACAGCTAAAGCCGGGGTAATATTCTCCAAATTTGGAAGGGCTTAGTGATTCTAATAAGAGCTATATAAAAACTGAGTATTATTATTATTATTATTCATCCTTTTCTTTTTATCTCCTTCCCTCTTCCATCTTCCCTCTTGCAGGAATCTGTCTCGCCGCAGGGTTAGTGATCCTTGTCATTACGCTCCTGGCGGCCATGTGTCTCAAGCAGCGCACCTACTGCGAGAAACCCATGTCATACCAACCCATAGCTGATACTTCTCTGGAAAAGGACACACAGGAACCATTCCTACCAAACTCTCGACTCTGATGTTTCCCTATAGAGCCCTAGAAGTTTGAATTTCCTCAAGAAACTGACCCAACGTGAGAAGGAAATTCTAAATTTGATAGCTGTTTCTTTTCCAGAGAAAGTCTCATAAACTGGTCTTTCTAAACCTTGAGACTCTGATGATCTAAAAAGTTGTTTTCAAGCGGTAAACCTACCGTGAGAAACCCATGTGGTACCACCCCATAGCTTATACCTCTCTGGAAAAGGATACACAAGAACCATTCCTATCAAACCATTAACTTTGTTGATCCAACAAGTCACTCTAGTACCCTTATGTTTCAAGTGCTACACCCACTTTGGGGTACCCTTACTAGATTAGATGTTCCAATGAATATATTTACATGGTGCAGAGAAACACTCTCTTGGAAGTGGCTCATAGGAACGGTAGTTACAATCCTTCATAATTAACCAACTACCGGTAGGGTTTAACAAGCAGGGTATCCATATACCCTGTTTTTCTTGAGAGTGAGGTAGACATGCAAGAACCATCGGTAATAAGCCACCGATACTAAAGATCCAACAACTTGTTCTCCAGCAGAAAACCTACCACAAGAAACCGTTACGCATACAATGGCTGGCATTTCTTTCAAGAAAGTCTTGCAAGAACTGTTCCTCATTAGCAAATTGATGTACATCTTTACCTTTACTTTACCTTTACTTTACCTTTACTTTACCTTTACCCAAGATTCTAGAAGAATCCTGTGTTCTCAGCAGTCAGGCTTTCAATCTTTATTAGAACTCAATCTCCTCTTTCAAACCTTTTTTGATGTGATGATGAAATACTGCTTGTTTCTTGCAATCCATATTTATTATATTTCAATTTATCTCATGATCTATTGTAGTACTAATCTATTGTATGTACCTTATGATTTATTTATCTATCAAATTCTTAAAGGACTTTTTTGTGTGTATGTGCAATGCACCCATGATATTTATTCCACTAGCCTCCAAATTTGAAGTGTCTTTTTAATAGTGAAAATAAGAGTGAAAGTTGAGGGGAGAGTTACACATACGCTGTAGTTAACTCACCTTCGATGTGAAATTGGCTACAATGATCATTATGATGAAACATACAGAATTACATCAGATAAATGGCAAGGAAGTGAAGTTTCTTTAACAATGGATTAGTGGAAAAACACATACATGTAGTCATCAAGCAATTTAGAAATTTATGTAAGGATTGTCTTTTTCTTGATCAATGCTGAGACCACTGATTTGTAAGTTGTGAAAACCTTGAAGGCCATCATTCAAATTTGTCAGCGCCATCTAACACGTGGTTATTAAAATCACTTTACGATTCACAGTGACCGATCGCGGCAACGTCTCCCCCCGTTGATTCGTCTGTTGAATTTCTGTCGGCCGCCGTCCGTAAATATTTGACGATGTAATCAGCGCTTCCGTCGCTTCAAATGTCAAGTGAGAGAGGAAAGTGATAGATTCTCTCGTAGATTGCGCTCAATTATTCAAGATTTTAACAGACAAGGAAATGTTTGTTGGCAGGGCCATGAATATTTCAAGGTGGATGGTTTACGGCGGATAGAAGTGTGATTGAAATCAGAGCCTGTTTGGCGCTTGACGCTAAATTAAGAAATCCCCCACATTGCCCCAAAATGGACTGGACCAGGCCTATTTCTTCTTGTTTTCGTAGAGATGTTTACCAAAAAATCCTTTAAATTTAAAGCGGATATTTCTTTATTTTTTTATCACTATGATTAGACTGTCCTAGATAAAGTTCAGTTCTGGTCATGCGATTGAAATCATAGAAATCATAGAAATCATAGAAATCATAGAGAAAGATTGATTATGTAGCACATAACAATTAAGTGTGTGTGTGTGTGGGGGGGGGGGGTTAAATCATTAAATGATGAGAACTTCAATAACTTCTGCTGAAAAAAATAACTCACAGTGAACTGCACTGCACACAGAAAGATGCCCTATGAAAACAATCAGTCCTTTTTAAGTACCCTTTTTTTTTATTTTGAAAGAGAAATTAACAAGATTTAAAAAAAAACTCAAAGAGAAGATTCTATGTATTGTACATGTAGTTTGTCATTTTGTCAATTTACAGTCTATTTTGTACATATTTGTAAATGATGTAGATCCTTTCTTGTTATGTTACTACACGAATATGAACTACATGGAATTTATCAACATTTTATCTTATCTCTCTCCGTCCGATCAACTCGCTCCATTAGATTTTCTTTTTTAAGAATACACACCCTTTAATTCTATACATAGCATGTATGTTATTTGTAAATCGATATATTACCTTCTACAAAGTGATTACATGTATGTTATTAGTGTACATGTATGTATATAGATATTTTCTGTAGTTTATTATTGCTTTTACTGAAAAATAGAATTAAGGGAAACTTGTGAAGATGCTGTTATTTCTTTTAAAAATATATAATCCAGACCCTTTTTATATCATTATTCATCGTGAATAAAAAATAGGCCCTTATCATTCTCCAGAATTTGATGCCCTTATTACAGTACTGACACATTGAAAATAATTATGGCATTATATGAGGCAACATTTTTTTTCATTGTATCAAGAAATTAATATCTCATCTTTTATCTTTTCTTCAAAATGGCAATCCTGATTTTGTCTTCTGTTTTCCTTTTCTTTTCTCCACTTTTTTCATATCTGAAAATTTGATACATAGACAGAAAGTACCCCCAAGGTGTTTTTATAAGTTTCTACTTTTTATGAGAAAACTTATTTTGAACTTTTTATATGTGTTTCCAATATAAAGCTTTTTAATGCTCCATTAGTAATGTTGAATAAGATCATGTATTACCAAACTTAGTACCACTAATCAAATTTGTCACTTAAATTGAGTTTTTCACTGTCTGGCCAATCTGAAGGTGTTTCATGATCAATTCATACTTGTGTCTGAGAGCATGCATTAACACACATAATGCTCCACCATCTTATTTATCACTTGAAATGAATGTGTGAGCAATCGTCTAAAAGTTCCAGCTTTTAGTAGGCCAAACATGCATTGCAAATGTTCTGTTTGTCACCCATAGGCTACATTCCTCTTTCCCTTGTTTTTTCTTCTTCTCTTTTTAAGATGTGGAATTTTGTTAAATAGCACTTTGAGCATGTAACACGTGACATAAAACGTATGAATTTGTTAAATTTGTAAATTGAGTTGCCGGTATGAGACTACATCACTTCAACTTGCCAGATATTCATTGAAAATGGAATGGTTTGGTTGTTGTTTAAGTTTTTAAGCATAAATTAACCTACTGTAAATGCAGGGCTTCATACTAAATAACCATTCTCGTAATGTAACCAAATTTAATGTACAAATCTTTGTTAAGTGCCTCATCACAAATGATTTGATTCACTTGTAATCAATAACTGTATTTCAATAGTCATATGAATTGCATACATTAGTTTGTTGCTAGGTAGGACAAACCTTAGGGCTTTTCCTACCTAGCAACTTGTAATAAATGCAATTTGCATTCTGATTATTGAAATACAATCATTGGTATCGGGTGAATGAAATATTTGTAGTGAGAAACTTCACAAAGATGTATATGCATTAAATTTGATTACATTACGTAAACAAAAATTGCTTTCACAGGGGATTGAAATTGTTAGGGGTTTTGTGCACTAGGCCTTTGTAAGTGTGAAGCCCTTCTTAAATCAATTTCCAAGCTTCCTCCAGGCTTTTCTATGCACCTGCATAAAACATATACATGGGCATGTACAGTCATAAAAAAAATACAAAGCATGCTTCTCGAAACCAGAGCAAAAAAAAAGGGGGATTTCATCTACTTAAAGCCTTTAAATCTATGAAAAATAAAATGGGTTTATCACAACGATGGCTATTGGCAGTCTGTGTGCATCCATTGCTCTGTGAAAGGATGTGCAATAGTATTGAGAATCAGACTTTGACCCGAGAAATCTTTGCTTAGAAATAGAAACCGGTATTAAAGGTCTTGTATTTTCTGTTGCATAGTCCCTCTCATGGGACTTACCTTTGTAGGTCCTTATGTTAGTTATCTGTAATCTTGTGCTGCTTTGTGAACACCCCAAACAATACAATTGTTTATTCATTTGTTTACACTCTTTCTGCAGGTTCTCAATCATTCTTTTAACACACATGCTCTCTTTTATGATATTTTTTCATCATGTAATCCAAAAGATGTATTTTAATTTTTAACAATTACACCTACCGGTAGTGTGTGTGGTAGGAATTCATGCATTTTGATAATCTGAATCAGATTGTATTTTCACTTCATGTATTAAATGGATTGTAATTAGATTTGGAAGCTGAAATTCAAGAAACTAAGAAAGGTCTGAAATATATTTTTAAAAAAAGCAGTGCTTTAACGGGGGATGGATATCAGAATGATACCTTGGTTACATACAGTGTATGCATTATCTTTGTTTGAACAAGTGTGTCAAAACATGCATACTATAAGCATGATTTACTCTTTCAAATATTGTATACAATTTGTTTACCAGCGTGTATGCATTAGTACTACAGAGACCCTAAATTCAGAGTAGTGCCATTTTGTGAGCCATCTGTGTTCAGCCCAAACCGTTATATTTCATGTGTGTATGTTTCTGTTAACTCTCGTTGTTCATTTTAAGTAGATACATTTTTTAGGTGCAATGCTTGCAATGAGATATTAGAGCATGATCATGAAAAAAATTATTGAAATGCAGTTATTCCTAACGGCTGAATGAAATAATTTGTAACACGGCACTTAACAAAGAATTTTGCATTCAATTTGATTATATTACCAAAATGGTATATTGGAGTAATAGAGCCAATATGTATTTCAATAATCAGAATGCAGATTGCATACATTAATTGTTTCTAGGTAGGACACATATTATGGCTTGTCATCTTGTCTAACCTAACAGCACGGAATGAATGCACTTTGCATTCTGAATATTGAAATACAATTATTCATAACAGGTAATAGGTGATGAAATAACTTGTAACACTGGACTAAACAAAGACGTATGCACTCAATTTGATTATGTTACAAAAATGGTCTATTGAAGTAATAGCATATGAATGAATGAGGAGAGCTTAATTAAAACTGCATACATGAACACACGTTGGTAGTTAGTAGAAAGCTAGTAGGCCTAACTATTTGCCATATGTACATATTAATATCTAAATGTTATCTGTACACACATATTTCTATATTTGCAATGTACTAAGTACTTTTAAGACAGTATCTTTTACTGTAAGTACATTTTTAAATGACAATCTCGCTTAATTATTCAATGCTTCAGAGTTTTATGATTGAAAAATCAGAAAATATAATTTGAACTATACCCACTGTTTGGAGTAAGTGTAGGTTGTTCCAGTGCTGGACATTTTAAATCTAAGATTTATGATCAGTATGAATGACATGAAATAACGGTTCTTTTGAAAGTATTTTAGGTAATATAACATGAATTTGTAAATATTTTTTATTAAGTTTCTATTCGGAGAACATATATGTGGTATGTATTTATTTACTTTTGTGTAAGTTACTCCTTCCCAAGATGGTAAAATAACACACTATTTGTATAGATATCATAGTATAGGGGTTAACCACTTGCCTGGAAGGGCTAAGGTCATGGGGTTGATCCCTGACATTGCACTAATGTCTGTTGGCAAGCATTAATCTACATTTGCCACTCCACACCCATGAGAGAAATTTGGACCTGGTAGGATGACAAAAGCATTTGTGTTAGTAATTGATGTATGTCCTCTCACAAAATCATAGCAAGCGCCATCGAATTTCTCACTGCTAAGTTCACCAAGAAATTATGCTACATACAAGATAGATTGCATCATTTGCATGGTATTGGTATCAGTGTTAGATTAAAAGTCACACCCCACCCCCCCCCCCCCTCTTCAAACCAAATTTGCATACCTCAAGTCCACAAAAATGAAGAAAAAAAGTAACAAATCTTATCTTTATTTGATTATTTCTTTCCTGACTTGC